GGCTCGTTTTGTGTTGCTGAATGCTGTGCCTTCGTACTGTGCTTCTGACTTGTCCACCTACCTAGGATACACGTTTTTAGTGTCGCCTCTCTTGGTGGTACCGCCTTCTTGACGGAATTCTATCTCTCTCTCTAGTCTCGAAGAAACCACAAGCCTGAAAAACCTGCCTGTGTCTCTAGGCCAATTCCCCGAGAACAAGGAGGCGAACTTGAATAGTTAAAACTGCGGGAGAGGGCCCTGGATATCGAGCCCATAGATCTATTACCTTCAAAGGTATGAAAGGGCGAAATAAAATGCGTCACCACGCGAGTGTTGGAATGTTGGCAGGCTGCCTATCGCATGTATTGTGTAGGTTTGTCCGAGGAGTTGATCAAATTGGTAAGGGCTAACGGCGATTCCAATGCGCTACCCGTTGCTTGACGCTGGCACCACTAATCTATTCCTGTGGTTATGATCACCTCGATCAGGAGAAAACCAATTGGTTACAGCAGCGGTAGAAAGGTTTCATGTCACAACAGGGCCGGGGGCATAAACGAGAGGGTAGCAACGACGGTGGTTGGCCCTGGTAATGGATGACAGCCCGTTGTATCACCGACATGATCTCTTCACTCAATCTCCACTGCATTCGGAACCACGGTGCCTTGGTTGTTGCAATCCGTGTCAAGTTGCACGTAGGCTCGATGGCATCTGCTGCTTTGGGAGCTGGCGTTCGTGGCTGTGCATTGACAGTCAAGGTGAGCCTTGGGTGCCACTGAGAACGATGCAATGTTGGACCCCACGCATTGTCGGAGACTTCGCGTATCCCCCCGCATCTGCTGCGTACGGATGGAAGCGGGGTCGAGGCACACACATCGAATATCTCCACCAACCTTCTGGTACCTTTGAAACGTCTTTTTTTACCTTGTGTGGATGCCGTTCACGCCTGGGAGGCTGCAGCTCGGCGAGTCAAACATCTCGGATGATGAAAAGGAGGAGCACTGCACAGCACACAGCACCGAACATAGAGGACACCATTCATCACACGACGTACAGGTGGGTTCGGAGGTTGGAATCACCGACCAGGCGAGGCAAGTGGAAGCCGAGGTAGGTACCCAGGTAGCTTGGTCTCGTGTGATGTTGGTATGGCTAAGAGTTTGGCTTGCAGTCTCAACGAACCGTGTGCCTGTTCAACGTCTCCACGATGCCGCTTGGCAAGCGTGCAGCTGCATCTGGTGTTCATGGGATAAACTCTTATGTCCGTTGATGCCCGTTTGCCGGAAACATTGATACTACCCGCGCCGTAGTGCGACCGTCAGAAGGTGAAGTTCTGCTTCGTGAAATATGGGTCGTCACCGCTTCTGTTGCTCTATCATGACGTACTTGGTCATCACACATGGGCTTTCTAACCCAGGCCGCCACTGCTTGTCCTGTCGAAATGGACTGGAGGCATTCCACCTTCACACAGTGAAATCACCATTTTTGGTTGGCATCGACTCCAGGTTATTCCACAGATAGGTGACATCCAGGTTAAGGAAGAGGAGGAAGAGGAAGAGGAGGGGGAGGAGGACCAAGAAGAAGCAGAGAAGGTGAGCTAGCGTTCACACTGTGAGCTATGTTTGTTCACACAGTAGGTTTTACATATATTTTACCATTTGATACATGTCACACTGAAATGCTACAGTACCGGTAGAGAGTGAGTGCATCTTTCTGAGCTGCCGATGCTCCATTGCACCAGCTTCCACAGGACCTGCGTTGATGATATGCCCTCTTCTCAACGAAATGCTGGCCAACTCTGTAAGCAAGGTGAATCCATCCCGGTCAGACGAACACACGTAAATGGCAAAAGTCTCCAGTAACATGGTACAGGTTAGTCATTAACGATGAGAGGATCATTGCCCAAATCTGCAGCTTCTTTGCCGTCTCCGTGTCAGCAAGCGTTGTCAGATGCTCGAGATGACTAGTTGTACTCGATGTTCACGTGGGTTGAATCTTCTCCAGACTCGTGTTGTGGAAATGGTGCTTGCGTCGTCAACGACACCCATTCTTTCGGTTGTCGGATGACTCGCTTCAGGCAAAGTCAGGCAAGCGTAAGCTCGGTGGTACGGCCGAGGCCCTCCGCCGGAACAACGTCAGGGCGGCTGGCAGCCGGCAACCCAACTATGCTGACAGGTGAACAGCAGCAGTGCGCAATATTGGTATTGGATCGAAGCCATCGCACGAGGTGCGTGCGGGGGTGAACAGCGTGAAGGTGTGATCCTGGCAGGCTTCGGCGTATCTATTGGCGTTCCTATGCATGTCCGGAGATCTTCCACCCAGATGTGCATCGCCTCTCGTTAGCAAGACCTCCCCGCAAGTATGGACTTGCATAGTATTTCAAGCAGCATGCAAGTGCAAGGGGCGACCTCGGTCTAGTATCTAGATAATTCTAACGACGTTCAGATTTGATCCGATGGAGACATGAAATCCTTGTCAGGCGGCAACACGCTGCCGATGTCTCGGGACACGACATGAAATACGCTCCTTGACATGTCGCAAGATTGCACGTTTACGCTGACAGCACATATACACACACGGTTAGCCCGGTCAATGCCGCCAATTATAGCGCACACACACAGGTACACGCGGACTGAATTGTTTTCAGTAGTCAGCGGGTTAGCACGGTCGATGGCAATTAGAAATACATACACATAGCGGACGCAACGACCTGGTGCCTCTGCTGTACGAACCCGTATCTTTCTGATTGGGTTACCTTGTAGTTGTCGAGTGTACCTGTCTGCGTGTGACGCACGCCGTCAGGGAAGCCCGCAGAAAACGTTCCCGGCCCTGGGGAGAATTAGGCCCTTCTATGTGCGGTATTCTCCTCAGCGATCACCATCTGTTCCAAGCAAAACACCACAATGCACCAGTCTTCTAAGTTCCAGGACATTGTGGCCACGGATATCCGAGACCAAATCTGGATAATCGCAGCATGATCGACACGTCGACCGAGACAGATGATGCACAACGCATTCCAGAAGAGCATCGGGTGGCCGTGTGGTGACCGAGGTCGGGAGGGGAGGTACATATGGCAAATGAAACATCGTGTCTGACTTTTGAGTACGACACACCACAATGGTCACACTCACCCATCCTACATGATTTGTTTTGCCATAATTGATCGTTCACTTCGCGCAATCTGCATTTCCAGCATGTCGTCATCAAGTAGATTGCAGGTGGCCTAGCCTGGCTGCTGGAGGCCTTTTTGACCAGCATGGTAGTCCCTCTTCCAGTTGCGAATTTGAGAACGTCAAACAAATCTTCACTACCATGACGTAGCAGTCCTGGGTACGTCTGTACCATCGCAGGTTTTGGCAACTCACGCACCCCTTTCATGATGACTCATGTGGGCTGTATGTCTCTCCTCTCTCTGTGTGCCGCTCTCTCTCTCCGTGCCACCACACATCCACACATTGCTCTTCTGGAATATACTGCCTGCGGTGATAATTCAGTCGGCGTGTCACCGATGCTGTGTTCAAGTATGGAGCGTGTGTCGGATTTCGGTTGCAATAATTTGTTTGAAACTGGAAGATTCATGTACATTTGTCCTTTGGTTGGAGCAGAAGGTGCTTTCTGGGGAAAATGGCAGATGGAAGAGTCATGTTTCCCGTCATGGCAGGTATTTGTTTTGAAGCCCAGGGAAAATTGTAGACAATACTAGCCGGGGCAGGATATACACCACGGGAGTATTGTGACGCGGCAGGGGGAGGTGGAGGTGGACGTCGACCAATACGTTACCCGAATATGCTGATTAGAAGCATACACCTGGCTGGATCGGTTTTAGACCATGGAGACCCTGCTGGGTCGTTTTCCGACTGTTTTCGCAAGCCAACGGTTACTCCCCGTAAGACATGATCATTCACAGGTCATACGGGGCCGATTCTCGAACGCCGGCTGTTCCTACGCGTGCTGTTTCCAGCATTACCCGCCGGAGAAAACTATTTAGGCGTCAATGCTTCAGACGGCCGCACGGTCCACCGATGGGCATCTGCATGCTCAACATCGATGCATCATACCCATCTTGATCAAAGAACCACGTCGCCGTGTCTCTATTTCTTCGATTGCTCCTGAACGTTTCAGACTTTGTTCGTGGCAAGTGGGAGCTCTCTTATACTCGTTTGGGAATATCACGGCAAAGTGGAGACAAGCTACACTAAACCCATCATGCACACGGGCAGTATTTTTTGCATTTTTTGAATAAAGAAAATTGAGGGAAGACTTCACCCAATGCCCTGAACCGTGGTGTCAGCACATTTAATTTCGACGCTCCAACTCCTCCACGGTGGGTTGTCATCTCTCGCCTGGGTATGTATGGTGTTTGATTGTCAGCCCCATCAGAGCGTCATCCAAGCGCCAACGGAAGGCTTACGCAGCAGGACAAATGGGTGGCGGGACGACGGCAACACACGAAACGGTGAGTTGGGTGGACCGTTCGTTCCTCTCGCGTTTCAACGCGAAATGTCATGATTGTGCGGTTGGCCAGTGCACGCTGTGCTTACGTTAATTTGCCGCGTATCACGTACTCTTGGGCTACGTTCTGATCAGCGGATGTTGGTGTTCAGTTGGTGGTGTTGTAGGTTCGGGAAGATTTCTGCCGCACACCCGATCAGTAGCGCACAGCTGTTGGAATTGAGCACCGGCGAAAGTGCTGTCCAGTCTTTAGACACCGCTGCGCTATGCAGGGGGAAAATAGTCAATGCTTGCATCTAGCGAGTCTACACCATGTGTGTTGACTCTGTGTCCGACGGTCCCTGCAACTACTCTCGAAAGATTTGTTTTTTGGTGTGTTTCAGGAACGGCAACGGGACTACATGCAGACTGTTTCAAGCGCTTGTTTTACTGCTGGTAGCCGAGAAGCCACATGTGCACACAATCCCTTAGTGCTACCGAACGTTTTGGTGTTTTCAAGAAAAGGTTATGTTGGGACTGTTGTTGACTGAGCGAGGCAAGGTCTCCTGCACATCAAACCGCCGTAGTTCCAATAGATGAAGCGCGGCGGAAACGGTAGGAACCCAAAGGTCGAGGTAGTGTGGGAGGAGAACGCGCTTGAAGCATCGACCGCACAGCACACCCAAACGTAGCTGACGAAGACAACATTCAGTGAAAGGTGTTGTCGATGACGTTCTCTCGTGAGAGGCAACCAAATAGTTTTAGGGCGGGAGCTCGAAAAACGAAGAGCATGGGGGTGATAAGAAGTGCAGGGCAATGGTCTTGATGGTGAAACACCAGCGAGTGCCTATACCCCAGCGATAAGCGTGGGGTAAATTCCAAGCGATCTATTATCTGGAATGGAGGCAACGAGATCATTTAGCGGAGTTGGGTGTTTAAGAATCATACTCCTCTCTCGCTGCTGCCCTGATGTCGCTCGCATGGTTGCTGAGATATCGATCGGTCCTTTTCTAGAATGTGGTTCCTGCTCCATCGTGTTTGAAATTGTGCTTTTCAGCAGGCACCGCGTACGACGGCCAGATATGGTCAGGGACGACGATGTTGCCAGGAGCACGACTGTACAACGCGGCCATCTTACGGCAAAGCCCACAGCAAGAAAGAGTTCTGCTCCCAGCACGCCAAGCCAGGGATGGTCAGTGTATTCGGTAAGAAATGCGGCCATCCAGAGTGCACAACGCGGCCTTCCTATGGTGTTGCCGGCAGCAAGAAGGTGGAGTTCTGTGCCAAGCACGCCAAGCCAGATATGGTCAATGTGTTCGCTAGGAGGTGCGGCCATCCAGAGTGCATCAAGCAGCCGTCCTATGGTATTGCCGGCAGCACGACGATGGAGTTCTGTGCCCAGCACGCCAAGCCAGAGATGGTCAATGTGTTCGCTAGGAGATGCGGCCATCCAGAGTGCACAAAGCACCCGTCCTATGGTATTGCCGGCAGCACGAAGACCGAGTTCTGTGCTCAGCACGCGCAGCAGGGCATGGTCCAAGTTCGTGGTAAGAGGTGCGGCCATCCAGAGTGCACAAAGCACCCGTCCTATGGTATTGCCGGCAGCACGAAGACCGAGTTCTGTGCTCAGCACGCGCAGCAGGGCATGGTCCAAGTTCGTGGTAAGAGGTGCGGCCATCCAGAGTGCACAAAGCAGCCTTCCTATGGTATTGCCGGCAGCAAGAAGGTGGAGTTCTGTGCCCAGCACGCCAAGCCAGGGATGGTCCATGTTCATGGTAAGAGGTGCGGCCATCCAGAGTGCATGAAGAAGCCGTCCTATGGTGTTGCCGGCAGCACGAAGGCGGAGTTCTGTGCCCAGCACGCCGAGCCAGGGATGGTCCATGTTCATTGTATGAGGTGCGATCATCCAGAGTGCACAACGCGGCCTTCCTATGGTCTTGCCGGCAGCAAGAAGGCGGAGTTCTGCGCCCAGCACGCCGAGCCAGGGATGGTCCATGTTCATTGTAGGAGGTGCGACCATCCAGAGTGCACAAAGCGGCCTTCCTATGGTATTGCCGGCAGCAAGAAGGTGGAGTTCTGTGCCCAGCACGCCGAGCCAGGGATGGTCCATGTTCATGGTAGGAGGTGCGGCCATCCAGAGTGCACAAAGCGGCCTTCCTATGGTATTGCCGGCAGCAAGAAGGTGGAGTTCTGTGCCCAGCACGCCGAGCCAGGGATGGTCCATGTTCATGGTAGGAGGTGCGGCCATCCAGAGTGCACAAAGCGGCCTTCCTATGGTATTGCCGGCAGCAAGAAGGTGGAGTTCTGTGCCCAGCACGCCGAGCCAGGGATGGTCCATGTTCATGGTAGGAGGTGCGGCCATCCAGAGTGCACAAAGCGGCCTTCCTATGGTATTGCCGGCAGCAAGAAGGTGGAGTTCTGTGCCCAGCACGCCGAGCCAGGGATGGTCCATGTTCATGGTAGGAGGTGCGGCCATCCAGAGTGCACAAAGCGGCCTTCCTATGGTATTGCCGGCAGCAAGAAGGTGGAGTTCTGTGCCCAGCACGCCGAGCCAGGGATGGTCCATGTTCATGGTAGGAGGTGCGGCCATCCAGAGTGCACAAAGCGGCCTTCCTATGGTATTGCCGGCAGCAAGAATGTAGAGTTCTGTGCCCAGCACGCCAAGCCAGGGATGGTCAATGTGTTCGCTGGGAGGTGCGGCCATCCAGAGTGCACAAAGCAGCCGTCCTATGGTATTGCCGGCAGCAAGAAGGCGGAGTTCTGTGCCCAGCACGCCCAGCAGGGCATGGTCCACGTTCGTCGTAGGAGGTGCGGCCATCCAGAGTGCATGAAGAAGCCGTCCTATGGTGTTGCCGGCAGCACGAAGGCGGAGTTCTGTGCCCAGCACGCCGAGCCAGGGATGGTCCATCTTCATTGTAGGAGGTGCGATCATCCAGAGTGCACAAAGCGGCCTTCCTATGGTATTGCCGGCAGCAAGAAGGCGGAGTTCTGCGCCCAGCACGCTAAGTCAGAGATGGTCGATGTGTTCGCTAGGAGGTGCGACCATCCAGAGTGCACAAAGCAGCCGTCCTATGGTATTGCCGGCAGCAAGATGGTGGAGTTCTGTGCCCAGCACGCCAAGCCAGGGATGGTCCATGTTCGTGGTAGGAGGTGCGGCCATTCAGAGTGCACAAAGCGGCCTTCCTATGGTATTGCCGGCAGCAAGAAGGCGGAGTTCTGCGCCCAGCACGCTAAGTCAGAGATGGTCGATGTGTTCGCTAGGAGGTGCGACCATCCAGAGTGCACAAAGCAGCCGTCCTATGGTATTGCCGGCAGCAAGATGGTGGAGTTCTGTGCCCAGCACGCCAAGCCAGGGATGGTCCATGTTCGTGGTAGGAGGTGCGGCCATTCAGAGTGCACAAAGCGGCCTTCCTATGGTATTGCCGGCAGCAAGAAGGCGGAGTTCTGTGTCCAGCACGCCAAACCAGGGATGGTTCATGTGCTCGGTAAGAAATGCGGCCATCCAGAGTGCACAAGGCAGCCGTCCTATGGTGTTGCCGGCAGCACGAAGGGGGAGTTCTGTGCCCAGCACGCCAAGCAAGGGATGACAAACGTGAAAGCGAGGGTGCGGTAATCTAGAGTGAACAAATCGGCCTTCCTATGGCATTACCAGCAGCAAGAAGGCGGAGTTCTGTGTCCATCACAGCGAGCGAGGAATGATCGATGTGCGGCGTGCGTAACACCGGGTGTAGCACCAAGACCTATGTCGTTCCGAAATGTCATTGTGTGGTTACGCGTCCATTTTGTTTTTTCCCGTTTTATACGCTTAAGATACATGCATCGCTTGGCAGAGTGATTCTGCACGGACGTTGCCATTGTGTGAACATCCGGTTAATCTTGGCGAACATTTTCTTTGACGTGCCTAGCGTGTAAGCGCATGTAGCATGACGATATATTTCGCCTTTGGTTTGGTCGGGTCGAACACCCCAGGCATGGAGGTTGGGGTTAAACAAAGCACCATACCATTGATGTTCGTGGAATCCTCTTTGGGCAGTTGGGCAGGAGAACGGGGGGGCCTCGGGTCCAGTGTGAATGTAGGTTCTGTGTGGATGGGGCGATGCGATCGAAGTGCAAATCGAGGTACTACCCTTTCGAGATAATACCACGGTGGAGAGGGCAGCAAACAAGTCTTTTCAGTGACCGAACAAGACGCCTGCCGAAATGTTAGACCTGTCTCACACGATTTAGACCAGTCAGCTGTTTTGCTGTCGGAATTCTGGGTGATTGTTGTTGTTGTAAGTAGTTTTTATTCACATTTAACTCGTGTCAGTTGCTAATTCCAAAAATTTAGCGAAGACTCGGTCCGTGGTCACGAAAATGCTCGAGCCATCAGAAGATCTAAAGAACACACACTAGTAGCAAGAAAAGGGTACACGAGCCCGAGGAGGTACACCTGCAATCCCTGCAGCACGTGTGCGTGCTCACAACTGAACTACACGCCCACACACTACGAATCGACTACAGCAGCAGCATCACCCCCCTCGTCCCGAATTTAACCGAAATGAATGTTTGTCGACTACAGCGTACTGCTGTCTGAAGTGCTGCCTGTACAATAATAACACCATGGTGCACAAGCTCGGGGCATGCAGCTGCTGTCTGATGTGCTGTCAGAATGAGTCCGTGGAGATACCATGAAGAAGAACACCCTACCAAAGCCATCATTGCAATTGACAAACACCCGACACTGACTAGGAATCGTTCCACATTGGGTAAGTGTGTTTGGTGAGGGTTCGGGTATTTGTATTATTTTCAGTTCTGGTGACGCAATACCGTCAACGGCCATCAGAGACTAGTAGACAAGGCTCTAGTTTAGAAGGCGGCTGGGAGTGAAATTTCATGGCCGGCGTACGGTGGCTACGGATTGCTCTTCCAGCACCAAATTCTGCTTGTTTTGAGGCGGCTTGGAGTGAATTGTTCACCTCAGAGATGCGGTGGGTACGACAGCAGTCCTCTTTTAGACCAAAAGGCTTCAAGTGGGCAAGGCCGGTTGGAGTGACGATTTCACACTAGGGGGCAAGCGATTCGGACAGCAGTGTTCTTTTGGTCGACGAGGCTTGTTGTCGTAAAGGCAGATGACATGTAGATTTTTCACCACAGAGAATATTTGGTGTACAAAGCGTACTCTTCTTGTAGACTAGGCTCTAGTTGAGAAAGCGGATAGTCGTGAAAATTTCGTCGCTGGGGTAACGTGTGCTCTCGATGACAGTTGTCCCGGACTTACAAAACGCGTTCAGTTTGATGGTGGCTGGGAGGTTTCGTATTTGAGGTATGGCGGTGACGACACCACTTCGCGCAGACAAGGCTTGTGTTCCCAAGGCGGCTGGGAGTGCAGTCTTCACAGGTGATTTCGACAGTGGGTGCTCTGTCTACAGCACAGATAGCGCCCGCAGTTATGAAGTTGAGACTCGAAAAAGATCAGAAACTAAGAACTTGAGCACCATTTGTGAGCCCCGTTAAGACTCCCTACACCAAAACCTTTATACCGTCCATTTGTAGCCCACAAGAGAAACTACCAAACCCTGCCTCGGCCAAAACTAGAGGTTCTTAAGTGCGGGCGCCATCTGAAATAGACAACATTCACTCTTGTTGATACGGCGGAGGGAAGCAAAAATTTCTGATGCGAGTGAAGCCTTTGCAGCAGCGGGAAGTGTGCGCAAAGCTTGCTGTCATTGACAAGCGAAGGTTAACCGATTCGCGCAAGGTAGTGACGGCAAGCATGCCCCGGCCGTCAGCGTTTGCCGTTTGAAGAGATCCTGCCCTTTAAGGCAAGGGCGCCGCTCCACGATGGAGTCATTCGCCGTACAGTGTAAAGAGAGATTCGGCTGTGTCAGTACAGGAACGAGACCGTTTTCGAACCACGATGCACATGCGATGGATCAGCGACCTCACTCCCCACCCCCTAGATACCCCGACACATGGGACAGGTTTGCCAAGTGCTACCAGGAGTAAAACGAGGAGGCCCTGTTCCCGTTGAAACATGGTCTCCTTTTCATGAAACCCACACCAATTTAGCCTACATGTAGGACCGACAGTCAAGGGGTACCTCGTGATTTGTCTCAACTCCATGTGCCCTTCCCTATGCTGGTCGCGTCGACGCGTGTGTGTGATTCGATATTACGTTCGCGGGCGCCCGTTTCGAAGGCATGTCTGCACGGAAGCAGTGGCTAAGCCCCTCGAGTAGAGAGCTTTACGAGTGAGACCCAGCGGAAGTTCGTGCGTCAAGTTCACCAGCATCAAGCCCATTACGTCGAATCCGCGTAAGCCCCGGAGACCTCGGCAATCGAAACCACACCATTGCTTAGTATCATATCGCATTACTACATGCATCCCAGGTGGTCTGGGGCTCCGAGATAACGCGCAACCCCCGAGATCTGGGAGATCTGCATCTTGCTGCACCACCCCAATCCTTCAAACCAGGCATTGCGTACCATGGTACCGTCCCGGGTGGTGTGCGGCCGCGGGGGCTCCGCGATGACGCGGGAGGTGGACTTGGTGTGGTGGGCGTTGAAGCGGACGACGACCACGGAGAACCCGTCGCCAAGAAGCTCCAGGAGTTCTCTAACATCGATCGGGACGCCCTGCGCAGCCTGCAGGCATGTGTACCATAGGCCGCATGACGTAAGATACCACACACCCTCGGCCGATTTTCAGCCCTCGACTACGCTGTGTAGAAACCCGTGAGGGTGTTCACATCGCTAGGGTTGGTGTAAATGTACGAAGCGGTTCGAACGTGCAACCTGTTCCTGTCTCTGGATACGAGCATGGTAGATCTGCTAGCAGCACGGGGGGGTACGTAGACAGGAGCATGCGTATGCCTGAAAAAGGCTACTATTTGTGGGCCCCCTTCCCCGAATTCGGGAGGGCCACTTCTTCCCTTCCTTTCCTCGCTCCCGCGGGGGCCTAATCAGAGAGAGTTAAAGTGTGTCTTCTCCTCCCAAGTACGGACATACCAACACACTAGTGTCTATTCCCTCGAGGGAGTCCATTAGGGATGGCGGGCCGCAGAACCGGAGAGACCACTCCGGACGGCTCGCAGGCAGGAGACACAAATAGCAGCGAGCAGATCGACAGCATGCGGTCTGAGATCAGTTCGCTGACACAGCAAATGGGCCAGCTGGTGCAGCTGGTCGGAGGACTTGCTGCACGTATAGAGGAGACGTCCGGTGGTGCCACGGAGGGCGCCGCTGAAAGCGGCGGCGCGATAAA